CGGCGCTGTAGACAGAGCAGTGCGTTTGGAGTGTGAGTCCTTCCCTGGGCTTTAACTTTCTCTGTAAAACAGGGTGGTAACACCTGCCGGTGGGACAGTCACCACCTGGCCCAACGCCTTGCACACGGTAGGTGGCAGGTTCTCAGGCACCTTGGCTTGGCAAACGGACCGAATGCTTCCAACTCAACACTGCCACCTTCTGGCAGAGCTTCTCTAGAGCTGCAGGGTGACTGGGTTAGACCCACAACTAGGAATTCCTCCGGGGCAGTGGCGGTGAAGAGGCATCTTGCTCATCTGCTCTGTGTAGCCCAGAGGCTCCATCCACCTCTGGCTTCCCAGCTGCTGCCCCTGGTGACAAGCTTTTTCACGTCCCCAGGGGCAGCCATTTCTTAGGTGCAAGTAGCCCAGGAGCCCAGGGTTAGAAGGGACTCCACCCAAGATAGACCTGGAATTCCTGACCCCTCTGTTTTCTCCCAGTGAGGGACCTTTTTACATTTTTAAATAAAAACTTAATCCTTTCTCCTCCAATGAAATCATTCAATACTGTTCATTTTCTTGTAGTATATATATGCACCGCTTTCACTGAATACCACAGATTTTGATATGCTGTGTGTTCATTTTCATTTAGTTCAAATTATTTCCCAATTTCCTTCTGATTTCTTTGACTTTGAGGGTGTTCCAGATATCTTTCTGTTATTTATTTCTAATTTAATTTTGTTGAGGTTGGGAAACATACTTTGTCTGATTTAAATCCCCTTAAATTTATTGAAACCCAGCAGACGCTCTATCTTGGTAAATGTTCCAAGTGTGCTTGAAAAAAAAAAGTGTATACTACTGTGTTGGGTGGAGTATTCATAAAATGTCAAGTAGCTCAAGTTGGCCAATAGTCTTTTCAGGGGTTTTACATCCCTAATAATTTTATATTCTACTCCTTTTATCAATTACTGACAGAGGGGAGTTGAAATCTCCAGCTATAATGTGGATTTGTCTCTTTGAAAGAATTTAAAATGAGAAAAAGTTCTCTATTTACTCACATACTTATCATTTTTGATGCTCCTTTCCTTGTGCAGACCCAAGCTTTCTTCTGGTATTTTCCTTCTTCCTGAAGAACTAACTTTTAATATACTTTGAGCTCTGGCCTGGTGCTGATGAATTCACTCAGCTTTTATTTGTCAGGAAAAAGAAAGTTTTTTGCCGTTAGGTTTCAAAGATATTTTTGCTGGGTATAGAACAATAGGATGAGAGCTTTTTTTGTTTTGTTTTGTTCCAGAGGGTTAAAGATATTGCTTCATTGCCTTTTGACTTGCTTCGTTTCTGAGAAGAAATCTATGATCATTTTATCCCCTCCTCACTCCTGAAACATTTTCCTCTTTGCTAGTGGCTTTTAGCAATTTGATTCTGCTGTGCCATGGTATGGTTTTCTTCAACTTTCTTCTCCTTTACTTGGGTTTTACTGAGCTTCTTGAATCTGTGGGTTTATAGTTTTCCTCATCATGCTTGTCTCTACTTTCTTAAACATATGTAGCCTATTTTAGCTTTTTCAATGGTTGCTCGCCCAATCTTGCACAAAACCATGAGGGGCCTTTCGGGGAGCACCTCCCCCAGTAACCTGAGGCCTCCACTCAGGACCTAGGAGGGGCTGGCCTCCTCTGTACCCTCCCAGCAGATACCTCCATCCACTCCTTCCCTTGACAGGTGCTCTACATCTGTTAAAAAATATAAACATTAATCATATCCTTTAAAAAAGAGTTGGTAGCAGATAAAATGAACAAAAATAAAACATTATTCAAAAATAAGAAACACTAAAAATTCAGAGCTTTCTCAGCAATGAGAAATTTTAAATGAAATGACACTGTTTGATTTTTTTTTTTTAAAGGAGACCGTAAAAATCGAAGTGCGTCAATGACGTCATTATTGAGTCACAAGCGTATTTTTGTGTGCATTTTTTCCAGCAACTGTCAAACGCTCTTTTTGACTACATGCTAGCGGGGGACATGGAGAGGAGATATTTTTAAGCTGAGTCCAAATATTTTCCCTCTGACTTTCATCTTCAAATCCAATCTCTTGTTCATTAACTTTGAGAAGATCTTTAAGAAAAAACTTTTGGATTTTTGCCAGGGGCTGTCATGGTTTTATTATCAACAAACTGTAGTTTCTGTTTCCAAAAAAAAAAAAAAAATCCCCAGCATTTGGGGTTTATATTCGCCATCTCTGGTTTTATCATGCCTCGACGGAGACTGCACTACTGCGTTACCTGCATAAATTTCCGCGCTGACGTGTTTATGTCCTCTTGTGCAGAATGCCTGCTCGCCAGGGCGCATGCTGTTCCTCAAAGGGAAGCGTTGCTTTGTCAGTTGTCATCTTCTTCCTCCTCTGGAGGATTGAAGACGTCTCAACGGGTGTGACCGTGAACGCAGGCCGTAACTCTGGTTAGACCTTGGAATTTATTGGTTCAGACTTCAGATTGTTAAAACAATAGCCACAACAACCCGGAATACAGTACGCTGGCACTGGGACCACTCATGAGCCTCGCTCCGGCCCCTGCCTCTTCCCAGCTGTTCTGGGTGCTGGTGGCTGGGCTGGAGCCCAGGACACCGGCCGAGCTGGCACCCATCATAGAGCTGGCACTGGCTGAGGATAGGAGCTGGGCGAGGCGCGGAGGCAGCAGCTCTTGGGCCCTTAGCAACCCTCCCTGAGGCACCGCTGGCATCCCTTTGCATGAAGCTGCGTCTGTGCTAAGGACACCTCATGGTAGTGGAAGTCCGTGCCCTGACATCTCCCTCCCAGGAGAGAGGAGGCAGGGAGCCTCTGGGAGGGAGGAGCTGCCACTGTTGGAACAGAGACAGGCCCGGGACACGCACCTGGGGTGTGTCCGCCAGGCCTCCCAGAGACCGCCAGCCCTCCGTGGCCTCCAGGGGTGTGGAGGCGAGAGGACGAGAGCTCTGTGACCCGGCCTCGTGGGAACAGGGTCCCCGCTCCTCCATCGTGCCCCAGCCCGCTGGCTCCTTGTGGCTGTCACCTTGTCCTCTTGGCTTCTCCCTCCCACAGCAGTTGCTCCTGCCCTCCTGCAGTGACGCTCACATTTGTATCGACAGTCACCACCCAGCAGACAGCTCTCACAGGCGTGAGCTACTCCCTGGACTTCAATTTAGGCTGTTTCTGTGCTTTGTGTCAAAAAAAAGGTTTGTGGGTTTTTTGTAAAGTAAAAATTTGAAGATGGTTCTAGTTCCAAGGTTTCCCACATTTTAAAGGTCACATGCTCGGCCTCCATCACCATCTTTTTCTCTGATGTGTATTTGCCAGGAGGCACCACGGGGGAAAACAGTGCCAGGCAGACTCAGGAGACCTGGGTCTTAGGCTGATGACCTCGGGCAAGCCCCTCCCCTCCTCCAGGCTGCACGTTCACCTCTGAGGGCTGAGGGGCCCGTCCAGATCAGAGGTCTCCATGCATCCCAGCAGTAAGAAAATGTGGAGCGTGCACCCATAATATACATATATTATCTACAAATGATGTGCCTTTACTATCATACCCATGTTAACTTATCAAAGCTAAAGATTACACAAAATATGTTAAGATATTTTACATAAATACCATACTACATAAAACATTTTATTTTATAAAGCAAAATTTTATATAACAAAATTTCTCCCACCCACAATTTAATCGTCGGCTTATAGTTAATGACAGTAGTGTAAGGAAAAGCAATGTGGTTGATGGGCTTCATTATTCTGTGAAATCTTGCTTTCACCTTTGACACAGAGCCATTCGGAGGTCTGGTTCTAGCTGAGTTTATTTTTTATGGCTGTCGGAGCTAATAAAAGGCAAGAGAGGTGGCGTTGGCTGTATTAAATCATGGTACTCAGTATCAGTCTCATCCACCACTTAAGGGCTTTTCATTGAAGTTAAGCGAGTAGATGCCCATCGTCTCTATGTCAGCCAGTGGCTCTTTACAAGCTAAATGGAAACACTGCATTTTCATATTTTTAACAAATGGACTCAAAGCCCTCTGGCCCTCTTCATTTGGATGATTTTCAAACAGACTTTAGAAATCTGTGTCTAATGTTCGCAGGTTTGCAGCATTTTTTCTAGGTGACAACACATGTGTTCAACAACAAAAGTCTCATTTTCAAAATGTTCTCTGACTCACTGTTCAGATGAGTCACTTTTACCTTGAAGAGTCAGAAGAATGCGAGTTCATTTTTTGGGTGGATATCTGCTGAGTTGCCTCTGAGCTGGGTGTTTGCTCAGAACCGCGTGGTTCGGGCAGGCGTGAGAGGGCCCTCTCCTGCATGCCCCTGGGCAGGCCCAGGTCAGGGACACCAGGGGTTCCTAAAATCACAGGACCCTGACTCACATGGGGCTCATAATTTGAGAAATAGTTTGGTTTAAAAGAGAAAATTGTTGATATCTATAGTAGTTCGGTAATAACTAATAGTCATCATTTGTCGAGTGGTATTTATCTGTCATTCTGCTGTTTAATCCTCACCACAAAACCCTTAGGTAGATTCAGTATTATCCCATCCTGTTTTGTAGGTGAGAAAGCTTAGGCTCTGGGAGACCATGTAATTTGTCAAAGCTGAGGCCACTCACTAGCAAATAGTGAAGCAGGACCTAAACCCAGGCCTGGCTGACCTCTACATCCAAATGTTGACAGTGGCTAACACTGGAGAGTGGATTACAAACAATTTGTATCCCATTCTTTATTTTGTTTTTGGCATTCTCAAAGTTTTATACAAAAAAAATGGAGAAAAGATAGTAACCATAAAAAAGAACAACACCTTTGGAAGGTTTGTGCAGGAGGAGATGACAGGGGGAGGAGTGATGGTGAGCCTGCTCTATCATCCCGTCTCCTCTCTGACAGTCCTAGCTCATTGACTCCAATATTGAGGTTGTTGCTATTATTTTCCTCTCAAACTCATTACACTGTAAGATAAGTAAGGCTCAGGGTGGCACGAACCCGACATTGGTAGAACTCTCTCCTCTTCTTCCCCACCCACAGGCCAACCCTTTCAGAGACCGAATCTGCAAAGTGTTCTCCCACAACGACGTGTTCTCCTTTGAGGATGTGCTGGGCATGGCGTCGGTGTTCAGTGAGCAGGCCTGCCCCAGCCTGAAGATCGAGTACGCCTTTCGCATCTACGGTGAGTGCTGTGGGGGATTGAGTGCTGAGGAGGGACGTACCATAGATTAAATACCACGTCTGGAATCCATCAACATCAGTGTATTGGTGGGATGGTGTTAATTGGGGTTTACTGGGTATTTCAGAGTATTATCATGTTTGTCCAGACTGTAGATTTTTAAGAAAGAATTGAGAGTTATTATTCCAATGGATTGATACATTCTCCTCTATGTCATCAGAGGCAAACAAATGGTTATTGGTGTTGATATTTCATGATCTTGGTGTGGGCAGGAGAGAGATAGAGATAGAGATAGAGATAAATTACATTATGGGTATAAAGCAGTTTTGCTTGTTTTATAGAACTTACTAGTAAGAGATTTGAACACTGAAACTCAGCCATTAAATGAATGAGCAATCTTGGGCAAATCATTTCACTTTTCTAAATGACGAAGTTGAGACAAATCACTCTGAGGCCCTATGACTTTTTTTGTCTCTGATTTTGTCTTGGGTAGCCATAGGCTCTGCAAAACTTCCACCCTTCAGCAGGCCATCTCGGAGAAGTGTCCCCCACCCCCAGCCTCTGTAGCCACGTCTGTTCCTGCGACCTCTGCTTCTTCCTGGCGGAGGTTGCCTGCCATTCTCAAAAAGAATCAAAATGAAAGAAACAAAGAAATCTTGGGAAACCATCAAACAGACCATGTGCAAGGCTTTAAGCTCATCGTGACCATTCCTTGGCCCCAAAGGACTTATTCATTTAGGCTTATACATTTTGGCACCTCACCTGCCTCCTATCCCTGCCAGCTCCTCCACACGGCAGACACCATCTTAGTCCTGCCTCACCCTAGTGGACTTGGGTAGGATGAAGTGGAAGAGTTTTAGGCCAGATGGACCTGTGAGGATACAGTTTTCTCATCTATAAAAAGGACTTAATGCTATGTTTGCATCCTATCCTATGTTTGCTGACACTGTCCTCAGGGTCAGCATCCAGTAGGCTCAATCACAGTCACAGATTGCCCTACTGAGAAGGGCTGAGTAGGCCCCTATTACAGTCATTTCCGCAGAGAGCAATCAAAAACTCTAAATAAAATATAGTAAGTAACTACTTGATGGCACTGGAAAGCTACCAAAAGCAAATCGATTCTAGCAGGGGCTGATGCTTGAAAGGAAGAAATGACACTTGATGGTCCCCCTCCCCTGCCTTTTTAAAAAAAGAAAACGTTTTTAGCCTGAAGGTGGGCCTCAGTGAGTAGCATCATGCAGGACTGACAGAAACTCTGCACCCTTCCTGGTGTGAAGAATCAGAGAAGTGGGGGCACTTTCCCCCTGAAAAATGAAAAGAAGGGGAGAGTCCATGAAAGGAGAAGGCCAGAGAAATGGGCCCATGTTTTGTGTAAGAACTATGCCTGAATCTCTACATCACATGTCCACAGGCAGACTCCAAGCAGCTGAGGTGGGGGTAAGAGAACTGAACTGATATTGGAGCTGCCGCTGCATTTTAACAGGGACCCTATGGGACAGGGTGCGCCGTTTGAGTCTAATCAATGGTCTGTTAAAACAAAAAATGCAGCACTCTTTGGAGGAATATAACAGAATATGGAATTTCCACGACCAAGTGTTTATAATGTCTAACATACAATCCAAAATTAGTCAATATACAAAACTTGTTTTAAAAATTGATGCATTCTCGAGAATGGAGACGGACTCTGACATGACCCTGATGTTTGGACTAGCTGATAAGTATCTTATAACAGCTATCATAACCATGCCCAATGATATAAAAGAAAGTATGTTCACAATGAATAAAAACATGGAAATTCTCAAGCAGAGAAATAGAAACGGCAAGAAAGAATCCAGTGGAAAATATGTAACTAAAAAAGAAAATATCTGAAATAAAAATCACTGGACGGCTTCACAGGAGAATCAAAGGAAAGAGTCAGCAAACCTGAAGATAGATCAATAGAAATATAATCTAATCTGAAAAATAGAAAAACGTTAAGAGAAAGAAGGAATGCGCTAGAGCCTCAGGGACACATAGGGCCATAGAAAGGTCTCACAGAAATCAATTAGAGTCTCAGGAGGAGAGGAAAGAATGAACAGAGCAGAAAAGATATTTGGAGCGGGGGCGGGGGGAAGATATTTGGCAGATGGTCAGGAGGTGAGACTTTCTCCTTTCTCTGTATGGCTGCCTGATCTCTCACTCTTGCTTCTCTCTGTGCACTTTCTCTTTCTGCAAATCTGATCTTTATGTCTCTGACCCCATGGGTCGAAGATGACTGTCCTGCCCTCCTCTGCCCCGCCCCCCCCCCCCCCACACACACACCTGGCCTCTGGGCTTCGCTCTGACTAGCCACAAGCATCCCTTTCTCATTTCCCTGTTCGCAGGAGCTGCTGACTGGCTCAGCCAAACCAGTGATGGAGCTACCCCTGGGGTAGATGACCAGCCTTGTCCAATCCGCCTCGGCCAAGAAGAAGCAGAGTCGCAGGAACAGACGCGGCTGCCGAGGCTGGGGGTGGGGACACTTCTCCAAGATGGCAAAGTGTAGGCTGGGCAGAGGCCCCCAGAGATGTCTGCCTCCGCCGTCTTTCCATGGTTTCCAGAGCAAAACAAACAAAACCACTTAACCCTTCAGGGAACCAGAGGAGCAGCCGATTCTCTTCAGGCTTCAAGGCACAGGAGCTCAATTGTGTGCAGCTCAGAAGTGGGGAGAATGGCCTCACTCCCAAGAGGGCAGGCAGAGCGCCTCCGATCAGATCAAGGGCAGACACCGCCTGTCCCCCACGCTGAATGTGTGTCTTCCTCCACCCTCCTCTCCAGTTCCCCTCCAATGGTTTCCTTCCTCCTTGGGCTCAAATACAAAAACAAAATGCTCCAAGCCTTCATGCACACCAGCTCTGCAGAGAGATGCCTAGGGACTCACCCACGCCAGCTTCATCAGATGTACCCAGGCAAACCCCGGACTCAGAAGATCTGTCACCGTACACAGCTGTCAGCAGGATTAGAGATGGGGCACATGGATCTCTGAGCCTGGTGCCGGGCACGTGGCAGCTGCTCAATATATTGAGGTGCTGACAGCAAGTGAAGGAGGAAGAAGAGGGAAAATTAGAAGGGAAAAGAGAAGGAGACAGGAAGGAGAAGAGGAGGATGGTAATGGCTGTGGAGATCACTCTTAGCCAAAGTCCAAAGACCCAACTCAGTGCTCCAACCCTTTGCCACTTCAAGTGTGGCTCATGCACCAGCAGCGTCAGCATTGCTGGGAAGCTTGTTAGAAATAGACTCTCAGGCCCCCCCCGCCCCCCCCGCCACCCCTACCTACTGAATCAGGTGGTTCCTCCGTACCTTAAAGTTTAAGAAGCTCTAGCCCACTGGTTTGCAGACATGGATGCATATTGGAGTCACCTGGGGAGCTTTCAAGACCTACGGACGCTTGGGCCCTGCTGCAGATTTGGTGTAACGGTGATGGGTAGGCCCCGTTTGGTGGGCTTTAAAAAGCTCCCTGGGTGGTGCTAAAGTGGAGAATTTGAGAACTGTTGCTCTGACTGACTATCTCAGTTAGGACTGCATTCAGTTAGGAGTAAGAGTATCCAGGATAAAACAAAACAAAACAAACAATCATGGAGCCAGGCCGTGTGGAGCCAGGGAATGCCCAGGAAGTAACCAAGAGCCCTGCGCCTTCAAGCCTCTGATGGGCCATCTTTAGTCTGAGCCTGGTCCGCCCAATCACAAGATGGTTGCTCACCTGCAGGCATCTCACCTTCATTCCAGCAGAAAGAAAAGGGGATGGGAGAAAGGATACGGACACAATGGACATTCGAAGGCACGATTAAGTCCACTCTCCCTTAGCAAACATTCTTGGGAGCCCCGCCCAACTACTATGGCCAGAAGGATGCCCGGTGGCTACGCATAACTACAAGGGAGAAAGCTGAATATTTTAAGCTGACCATGTCGTCCTGAACAAGAATTGCAGCTCTTTGTAAGCATGGCTATTGGTCAAGAATCCAGCAGGGCCAGCCACACCTACCTGGGACATATCTGGGCCCCGTTTCTGCTTTGAGGGACACTCCTGGCCTCCAGCTGATCAATTCTCCCCCTTTGCATCTCTGGGGAGATTTTCTACCTGTTAGAGACCAGCATCCCAGCACTGCCTCCCTGATCCCATCAGCACCTGCTTCCACTGGGTGTGAATTACCCTCAGGCAGGTGCCAGAGCGCCAGTGGCAGATCTTCCCGCAGCTTCCCAGGACCTGACACAGTCAGGTGGATGCTGGTAGCTGGGGAGGAGCCAGGAGAGGCAACCTCAATTCTCATGGGAATAAAATAGTGAAAGTGCGCCCTGTCTGACTCCATCCAATGCGCTAATTTTTGCAAAAGTACTTTGTAGATTGCAAGGATAATATGACAGAGAGATTGGAATGATGATGGTAAGGATGTTTTGGGGTGACCTGAAGGCTGAGCCCCGACCGCACCAGCTCTCTAATCTGCCATTTGTTGGGAAATAGCAAGAGGAAGCCCCCCACTCTCCACCCGCCAAGTGGCTCAAGGCTGCGGGTCCTGAGGCTGTTGAGGCCCCAGGGACTGGCCAGCGGCCTAGAGCTCCCGCCCCAGCCCTTTCCCAGGCTGCTGCACCCCCAAAGGAGGGGAACTGTCCAGGGCTACATTTTACTCCAGCACATGCTTTTGTTTCCAGATGGCTTAGGACCAAACCCATGTCGCTTTGCCGCAGTCTCTGCACATGGGAGCTGGGCCAGCTGGACGCCTGGGACACTGCGGGGTCCCTGGGAGAGGCTGCACAGCTTCTCCCCAGCAGTGCAATGTCACTGCGGTGGCTCGCTGCCTCAGCCTGCTGACAGCCCCTCTGCTCCCTCCACCTGCTCGCAGCCATCACCCATGGTGTCCGATGGCAGAGCTGTGCAGGGGGAGGCTGGGGGAGCATCTTGGGCCTCAGCCTCCAGTCCCTGAGACAGACAAACGCCCAGCCAGGGGGAGCTGCCTGCTCAGTGAGGGTGCTGGTTAGTGGCAGCTGCCACATCCGTATCCTGCCGTGGGGAACAGGGACAAAAGTCTTGGCTCTACCACTGAAGGGTCCTGTGACATCAGCAAACTCACTCCTCCATTCTGGGCCCCGTATAGCTCTAGCTGTCATTCTTCAAAGCAGAATATTACACCGTTTCCAAGGTTTGCATTCTTTTTGTACTTAAGAATCATCAAGTGATAGAGAATTGAACCTCTATTATATCTAATAAGCATCTTCTATATTCCAAACCCCATGCCAGCTGACTTCCCTGTATTTTCTTATTTAATCATCACAGCAACTGTGTGGAGGTACTGCTATTACCCCTTTTACAGATGAGGAAACTGAGGCTCGGGTAATTATTCGTTAGGATTAACTTTGGTGGCAGGTGACAGGGAACCCCAAGTAGCTTATGCAAGATAGCCCCCCAAGATCCCTGGCAGTACACGGTTTTTCTCTAGCATGGAGAATTCCAGAGGCAGTCGCCCACGGTGGTTGTGTAATGTTGGGGACCCAGGCTCCTCCGATTTTGTTGCTTTATCCTCCATTCCCAAAGCGGCCGCATTGTCACAGGCTGCACCTCTTTAAAGACATTCCTGGAAGTTGACTGTGCCCCCTCTTCTTGTATGTCATTGGCCAGAACTCAGCCATGTGGCCACATCTAGCTGTAGGGCAGACTGGGGAATGTAGATGGTCACATGACAGCTAACATTGGGCACTTTATTACAATAACAGTTATGAGTGGTTAAGAGCAGGCAGAGGCTGCCTGTGTTTAGTCTTGTAACCTTGGGTCATTCATTCATTCATTTACTCAACAAATGTTCATGGAGCACCTATTCCAGTCTAGGAGCTGGGGATACAGTGGTGACCATAAGACAAAAGTTCCTGTCCTTGTGGAATTTACATCCTGGTGGATGGAGGAAAACAAACCAGGTGAAACATAGTGTTCAGTGCTGGGAGGAAAATAAGACAGGGAAAGGGACAGGACGTGCAGTTTTAGACAGGTTCTGGGCAGTGCCCTGATGGGAAGCTGGCATCTGAATACAGACCCAAAGGCTCTCTGGGTGAGAGTGTTCCAGGGAGGCGAACTATGGTGCAGAGGCCCTGGGGCAGGGCCATGCCTGGCCTGATGGGGGAATGGCGAGGAGGCAGAGTGAGGGCAGGGCAGCCCTTGGGGCTACTGTCCAGACCCGGGCTTTCCTCTGGCTGAGAGGGGGGCTGTGAGAAGAGATGCTGAGGGAGGAACCAAGAATGATGAACAGAATCACTGCTGCTGAGTTGAGAATAGACTGAAGGGGGCAGATGAGAGTAGGGACACTGGTTAGGGGACTGGTACTGTGATCCTAGCAGTGATGGCGAACCTTTTGAGCTCGGCGTGCCAGCATTTTGAAAAACCCTAACTTAACTCTGGTGCCGTGTCACATATAGAAATTTTTTGATATTTGCAACCATAGTAAAACAAATATTTATAATTTTGATATTTATTTTATATATTTAAATGCCATTTAACAAAGAAAAATCAACCAAAAAAATGAGTTCGCGTGTCATCTCTGACACACGTGTCAGAGGTTCGCCATCACTGTCCTACAGAGATGTGACGGTGGCTGGACCACGGGAGGCAGTGTGGTGGGGAGAGGCCAAGGGGTTGAGTTTACTGTCCTCGAAGGCTGGGAAGATTTGCTGACACACGAGCTGTGGGGAAAGGGAAGGAAGACTCCAGGCTTATTGGTGAGCAACGTGAAGGGGAGAGTTGCCCATCTGCCAGAAGGGCACAGCGGTGAATGCAGCGGGTTTGGAGTCAGGGCAAAGGGGGGCCGACGAAGAGTCTGGGTTTGGACAAGTTGAATTTGAGGGACTAACAGACCATGCGGAGAGGGCAGGAAGGCAGGTGGGGACTGATGCACCTGGAGTTCGGGGAGAAGCCCAGGCTGGAGGTGTGAATTTGGGAACATTTAAGGCAAGAGGCTGAAATGAGTTTAAGGAAGGAAGTGTGGTTACTTAGACTCTGTCTCAGTTTCTCCCTCTGTGTTATGAGGATTAAATGCAGTGAGATATAAAGCACTTAGACCACTGCCTGGGACATCTGTGCTTGCCGTGGTGGCAATTATAGCGGCCTAGGTTTACTGAATCTACTTCATGGCTGATGAGTGGTTTAGGGACTGTGCTGGGTGTCCTAGGGGAGGGCTGCCTTATTCTGGCATTCAAGGACCTTCGAAGCTCAGTCGACTTCCAGACTTAACCTCTGACCTTCTCCCAAGCCTCTGCTCCCCTCACTCCAGGCGGATTGCCTGGTTCCTTCTTTGCTGCTGATCCTAGAGACCCTGACACCTTCTCCCATCACCATCTCTGCAGGCCCGACCCCTTTACTGCTTCTCTGATGCCTCCTCCTCCAAGAAGTTTCCCTCATTCGCACCCTCAGCCCCAACCCAGTATAAAGTTGCCCATCTGGAAACCCTCAGAGCCCTTGGGGTGCCTGTTCCTCTCTTCCTGGAGCCAATCTGCTTGGGTGTCAGAAGGTATCTCTCTCAACCCCAGCCTAGGAGCTCCTATGGGCAAGAACCAGCCTGTTACATCTCTGCACCCGATGCAGCGTGATGAGCAGGCACTTGTGCCCATGTCCTCTGGCTCCCAATCCAGACACCAAAAGACCTACTAGCTTGTGAGTTCTGAGATTGACGCTTCCATAGCAACGTGGTTGACACGGGACTCAGGAACCAACCCAGCTGCGTCCGAATCCCTGTCCTTCCACTTACTGGCAGTGTCGATAACACCTCTGTGCCTCAGTTTCCCTTTGGTAAAGTGAAAAATAAAAGGTTGATGGTGAAGATTCAGTGACTCCAATCAGGTGAAACTCTTAAGACAGATTTGAAGAGTTAGTACACCATCTTCTCCTTCTTCTCTTCCTCCTCCTTCTTCTTCTTCTTCTTCTTCTTCTTCTTCTTCTTCTTCTTCTTCTTCTTCTTCTCTCTCTTCCTCCTCCCCCTCTTCTTGTCATTTTTATCATATTACTAGTGGCCTGGTGCACAAATTCGTGCACATTGAAAGAAAATTTATTAGAAGAAATATTTTAATATTGCTATTTGCCCTTTCTCTATAAGAGAAGTGTCAACCAAATTCACAATCAACAATGACAGATTGAAACACATGCATGCAATTGGCAGCAGCAAGAGCTTAATATGTATCATGCATGTGTGAGTCAACTTAGCCTTTTATAGATATAGAATAAACTTGCTTAACTAGACCTGCTTTCTGATTTAGCTAAACTTTTTCCAGGCCAGTGAAGCAACCCAACTTCTCTTTCAGGTGATTGTCAGCAACACAGCAGTAAATGTCAACACGAAGCAGATTATTATTGTAGATCATGCAGGGAGAACAAAGGGTAAAATATGTAACTGCAGGAGTGTTTGACTATATTCTGCGTAGTGAGAAAACCTAAAGTCATTTTCAAGGTCCACCATTTCTTACTTCTTTTCAGTCGGGTCAAGTTTCTAAGCTTTCTAAATCTCCGTTTTCTGGCTAATGAAAAGAAAATAGGATTCCACCAAGTCTCCTATCTACTTATTCCAGGACTTCTGTGAGGATCAAATGAGATGAGGCACGGGAAAATGCTTCACAGACATTTGGTTACAGTGTAAAATGTTTCCACTTGGCTATAAAGCAAGTTGTGTTCCTGAGCTGAAGAAACTCCAAGGAGGCTAGTCGCTAGGGAGAGGAAACCGGGTGTTGCTACGTGATGTCATTACCAGATGGACACTTAGCATATTAGCCTTTCATATAGATAGATAGATAGATTAAGCACCACCTTCATCTGCAGCTGCTGTGGTGCCCATCCCTCAGGCCTGCCCGATCTTACTGAGTGCCAAGTTCTAGGCCCACCTGGGGCAGCTGGGTTGCGGCATCCCACAGGCTATGGGAGTCTGTGGGGTCCTGGCTGGTGCCTCCTTGCCCTCAGGCCCTGCCTCCTCTTTGCAGATTTTAATGAGAATGGCTTCATTGATGAGGAGGACCTGCAGAGGATTGTTCTCCGACTGCTCAACAGCGATGACGTGTCAGAGGACCTGCTGACTGACCTCACGAGCCACGTGTGTGCCTGGGCTGCACAGGCTTGGGGGGGACAGGCCAGCACCCAAAGGCCCAGATGGCAGGCAGGGAGGTGCCCTGAGGGCTGGGTACATGGCTGGAGGCAACTACCCCCCAACTTTCTGTCTTTCCTCCAGGATCAGGACTTTCTTCCATGACTCCCTTCCATGGTCCCCAGAACAGTATGCCCAAGCCACCCATTCCAAGGGTCCCTCTCAGCAACACTGCAGGCAGGTGGCCCAACAGCAGCTTGGCATCCAATGAATACATCACCTTGTCATCCAATGAATACATCACCTTGTCCCCTTCCCCACATGATCCAGCATCACATAATGGCCAGATGTCCTGGAGTGACAGTCCAAAGTGTGGCAGGACATGAAGACAGCCTCACGAGCCCAACAGGGCATGGATCCACTTGTCCCTCAAGTGCTTTTGGTCCAGACGGAAACTAGAAGCAAAACTAAAACCTTGGAGGGTCATCACTGTCTCCTCTACCCGACTGGGCCCCTTGCAGTGCAGAGCCCCTGCTTGTGACTGGATGGCAGGAGTGGGTGGGGGAGATGTCACCCTGTTCCCCCCATACTCATTCTCACTCTAACGTGCTGGAGGCACCAAGAGAGCTCTTCCCACATGAGACCAGCCCACCAGGTCCTAGACCTCAGGGCACATGACCTCATGTCTCTGCATGTCTATGTCCTTGTCTGGGGTGGGATGGCAGCAGGGGCAGGAGAAGCCCTGCCTCACAGGGTCAGGGACTCTGGGATGTGTGAAGCTCCTGGCAGGGAGCCTCTGCATGCCGGATTCCCCCCTCCCTTTGGCCCCCATCTTACTCTCTCAACCTGACTCCTCTCTGCTCCTCCCCCTCCCTGGCCAGGTCCTGAACGAGTCAGATCTGGATAATGACAACATGCTGTCTTTCTCAGAGTTTGAACACGCGATGAACAAGGCTCCAGACTTCATGAAGTAAGATGTTCTGGAGCAGGGATGGGGATGGGGTAAGCCCAGCATAGTGGGGTACGGGGAGGGCCCCCAGTCTTCCTTCGGCCAGTGGGGCACCTCTGTCTTCCCGGGGGGGTGGGGGGTGGTCATGAGTTTCCAAACTGGCACTTCTGAGAAATTAGATAAGCTAGAAAGAGCCAGGGAGCAGAGTTTTTTACAAGGTGAGAGGAGGACTGCATTCCAGGCTTTACAGATTATGTGCATGGTCCAACTTCAGGTGCTGCTCCTCTATAGCCGGCACCTCTGTGCGTGGGGGAGATGTCACCTCTACAGCTGCTCCCAATGCCCACTGGGCTCTAGGACTGACCTGGGGAGTTGCCTTTGCCACTGCTAGTCCTCTCTCCTCCCCGCTCCCCCAACCTCCAGGGGTCACTAGGAGTCGGGGGTGCACAAGGGGTGTGAAGATTCTGGTGATGGAGCAGCTCAGAGAAGAGCTCAAGCATTTCCAAACCTTGTTTTGGGCAGAAAGGGGCCTTAATGGTCACCTGGAGAGAATCAGCCATCTCCCTATTTCCCTGGCGTGTTGCACAAGCTTGTTTGGCACCTTCCGGTTATGAGAGACGCACCCTCCAGAGGCAGCCTGCTAGGGCACCCTGCGGAGCTGGCATCTCTGCCTGCGTCAGTTGCTCCTGGGTCCTATTCTGCACTCGGTCTCGTAGTCTAGGTGATTTGATGGCAAGAAAGAATGCCCATTCAAAACTATTTAACAAACCAATAAAAAAAGGACAGACACCTAGACCTCAGGGAGCACCGGTCAGGAACCTGGGACGTCGCAGTGCCTGGTCTCTGCCTCTCTCCCCAGCAATTCCATCCTTAGCTCTACATGCAAACCAGCAATCTCTGCTTTGTCAGACAGGGGGCCAAATACGGCCTCCCCACAGTGGTCAAGTTTACGTCTCCTTGGCTTCGAATGACCCTGTGACTCCTAAGCAACTTTGCAGAGAGAAAACGCAATTGGCCCAGCTCAGGTCAGGTGCCCACTCCTCTTCTAACCACCTGGATGGAGCAGAGGCTCTCCACTCCAGCGTGGCTGCCGGGAGCTGTGGCTTGGGCAGACTTCCTGTAAGAGGGTCCACATTTGGGACCACCCCACCCAAGGGTAATTCCTCTCCTTCCACACACAATTGAGGCCAGAATCCTGTCCACATTGAGCTTTTCTTGGAATCTCTCCCATTTCTTCCTTGGTTCCAGCACCACCAGGTTCTAACACCCTTTGCATCCTAGTGATGCGCAGAGTTGCTCAAAGAAGGCAGGGTTGGCTTGGGAGAGCTGCGAATTGGCCATTACTCAGAGAAGGGACGCGAGGTGGGCACGGGAGGATGCCGCTAGGACTGCCGCGAGCCCAGAAGTCAGAGGCGCCTTAGACCTGCAGGCTCCAAGTAGCTCATGGATTCTTTCAGCTCCTTTCGGATCCACTTCTGGGGATGCTGATGTGGCCACAAATTCCTTATCTGGTGACTCCGAGGGGACCACTGGACTGGAATCCAACTCCTTTCAGGCTCCAGGGGACTCTGATTAAAAATATGACTTTGTCCCTGTCCTGCCCTCACTTACAGAATATTGTTTATTTAATAAAGCAAAGTAAAAGCCTTTTCTTTGCCATCAGTTCATCATTTTTTGAAGGCAGGGTCACATAGAAATCTTTTTTATTAAGAACTGCTCATTCCAGGGCTTAAGTTCGCCGCTGACGCCAAGCAAGCTGGAATGGCCAGCTTTGGGGGGCAGGCTTCAAACCCCAGCCTTCGTCGAGCAGAGCCAGGCCAGATGGGATGAAGTCTACCAGGAAGAGATGCATCCTTCCTCCCTTCACTGAAGCCCCCCACCCCTTACCCTGACCCCTTTCCTCGCACCTCTCCACACAGCCTGTAGCGAGAGGTGCTCATAGCGCTCATTCCAGTTGGCGCCCGCCTTCCCAGCCCTGGTCGAGGGAGAAGACATCTTGGCGCCCTTGGGATGTGAGAGTGTGTGACCAGAATTCAGGGTTTATTTGCTTTGCTCTTTGGCCAAGCCCTGGAATGAATTTGGCCCCCACGGGGACCCTTTGGGGTGCAGCTGGTCAGGGACCCCGGGACACAGGAGGAGCCCCTCTGGGGTCTCTGAGAGCTGTTAGATGCCTATCTGGTGGGAACATGGTTTTTCTTACTTACACTGTCCTGGGGGAGGGGTCTAAATGCTGGCTCTCAGGAAGGGCGGTTCCACCCTCTGTACTTGAACCTGCTGTGGTCCCTTTGCCTTCAGGTCCTGTCTCACTATTCATGGGTAATAAGGGCCATGTTGCTGGTTGGAGTCCCTTGATCAAATCCAGGGACCCTGGAATGTTGGAGGAATCCTGTGGTTACACACCTGGCCGGAGGTGCCCATCCCAGATCCTGTCCACTGAGGGGCTGTCACCCACATCCTGTCCCCTGTCCCAGGCAGGTGGCCTCCCAGGAGGTGGAAAGCAGCAGCCTGGAGAGAGCAGGCACTCCGGACCCTGGCCCTCCCAGGCCACCTCAGGCCTGTGTGGCCTCAGAACCCATTCCCAGGGCCCACTTCTGGCCCAGAGGTTCCTGAAACACAAGATTCCTTGAAGAGTGGCTCCGTCCTGGGTCTCCCCCTCCTGTCCCGGGGGGAGATGGCAAACCAGCCTGTCCATGCCAGGCCGGGGAGAACACAGGGAGGTGCGCTTCTCCCGGGCACCACGGAGTCCTTTGGGATCCCAAGGGCTGCGTCACCCCTGCCCCTCAGCCTCCACATGGACCCTAGGGAGGATGTGTAGTGGAAAAACCAGGACTTGGGGGTCAGACCTGGGTTCAAACCCTGACGGTATCATTTCCAAGCTGTGTGAGCCTGGGCAACGTCTCTGAGCCTCAGTGTCTTTATCAGTAACTTCACTTCTCTTACACGTTATTGTGTGGACTAAACAATGCTGGGCCAGGGCCCGGATGGAGCTTCCTTTGCAGATGACACCCAGTGCCACTGTCTGAGGTCCCCTCATCCTCATTCTTAGACATGGGCTAACGGGGCTTCCTCGATGACACCAGTGGAGGCAGGTGGAAGGTTTTTTTGCACCTGAGACTCAGGAGCCCTGCAGTTCTCAGTTCTACCTCCTTCAGCCCCGGAGGGAGACGTGGCTGAGCAGGTCCCCGGACACCACTTTATCTCGGCTTGAACCCCTTGGGCTGAGCTTTCCACAGCCCTGAAGACCTAGTGCCATGTGATCCTCAGATACTGCCCTGCTGCGGCCACATGCCCCTGGGGCTCAGAGGAGAGGAGTGCGGGATGGTCATGGTAGAGATTTTATTCCAAAGAGCCAGCCCGGTTAAGGCCACGGCTCTCGGGCATCACGATCTGAACTCAAAGTAGACGTCTCTTCTCTGCCGTTCCTGGTAGGCGACCCTCTTCCCCGATGGGAATGTCTGGTAGACCTTCCGGTTCTCGGGGGAGACTCTAAAAAGGTGCCACTTATTCTTCGCGCTCAGAGGAGGCCTGGGGGTAAAGACAACGTCAGTGTGATGCCAGGGAGGGAGGGTGAAAATGCCCAGCCACAGCCCCACCTGCCCATTTCCCAGCCCACGTTGACCCTGACCCTGCTGGTCGCTCATCAGCTTAACATGTGACATCACCCTGCACTTGACATAACTTATATTTGCACAACAGTAGAGCGGCTAAGAGTGAAGACGTGGATGTCAGACAGACCTGGGATGGCTTCTGGCCCAACTCTTGCTAGAAGTGTACACCTATCAAACAAACTGATGCTGGGACCTCCCTCTTAGCTTTCTGTTGAGGAGTAAATGATGCAATGCATACAAAGCACGTAACATAATGCTGGACAAGGAGCAGACACTCAACAAATGTTATAAGAAATGGTAATGGTGTTGGTGATGGTGATGGTGATGGTGGTGTTGGTGCCGGTGATGATGGCAATGATGGTGTTGGTGATGGTGCTGATGGTGATGATGGCAATGATGGTGTTGGTGATGGTGGTGATGGTGATGATGGCAATGATGGTGTTGGTGATGGTGGTGATGGTGATGATGGCAATGATGGTGTTGGTGATGGTGGTGGTGGTGATGACAATGATGGTGTTGGTGATGGTGGTGATGGTGCCAGTGATGATGGCAATGATGGTGTTGGTGTTGGTGGTGATGGTGCCGGTGATGATGGCAATGATGGTGTTGGTGATGGTGGTGATGGTGATGACAATGATGGTGTTGGTGATGGTGGTGGTGGTGGTGGTGATGATGACAATGATGGTGTTGGTGATGGTGGTGTTGGTGCTGGTGATGATGACAATGATGGTGTTGGTGATGGTGGTGGTGGTGGTGGTGATGATGACAATGATGGTGCTGGTGGTGATGAAACTCATGGAAGGCCAGGAGGCAATCTAGGAAAGGGCTGAATGCAGGCACTGACCCTCTCACTCCCTACCACCCGGGTGGCCCTCTGTATTGGGCATGAAGCCATCAGCAGCAGGACAGGTTGCCAGGCATTTTGGAGAAGAAACAAAGCTGGGGTGTCCTGGGATCCCCACAGCTGTGGGGGGTGAAAATCCTGCCCAGAGTGGTTTCGAGAGGTGATCTGACTCCAGGAAAGGCCCCACCCTGTCTCCAGGTTTGGACTGACTCAGAGCCACCCCAAGGAGATGGCTCACCCGGGGCCCTAGAGTTGGCATCAGGAGACCTGGGTTCCTCCAGGTTCTACCTCCCACCAGACTTGCCACCTGGCACACATTTCTGAGACTATTGCTAAGCCTCAGAGCTCCTATTTATAAAACGAGCTCATCTGTATTGCAGAGAGAACCTCTATGGGAAGAGTTGCTGCTTTATCAACAATGATGATGGCCAGGCTCAGAGCTCGAGAGGTAAGCAAGGGGTCAGAATGGAATTAGAAAGCCAAGATCTGCCCGATGACCTCCTGATGCCCCCTACCCCACATGACACCGGGATGGCACAGACTTCTGATCGCCCTGCCTGGGCATCAGGAGGGAGAGTGAGGAAACCGTGTGCCCGGATCATCTTGCAGGGGGAACGTCTCTCCCAGACAAAAGCAGTGAGGTGCAGGCATTGAGGGACTTTCATATTTGGTCATATGGACGGTTGGACTTTGAAAGCTATTTCAAGTCCTTAAGAGAACACTTTCCAAGTCTGGTTGAGATCCAGGCACCGATTCCCTGTTCTGAGTAGTACCCTCCATGTCCATCAGAGGGCAGCAGCTCCTTGCTGCTCAGGGCGCTGCACCAGCGTTTGGCTGCCATTGCAAGGAAGAAGCTTACCAATGCAGCCCAGCAAAAATTCAGGTGTTCGCTCCCAAACTCCCAGTGCATCTGGCTAGATTCCTAGCATCCTGAGGCTTCCGGAACCCTGACCCTTTGCAGCGGTTCTCAACCTGTGGGTCGCGACCCCTTTGGCGGTTGAACGACCCTTTCACAGGGGTCGCCTAAGACCATCCTGCATATCAGATATTTACATGACGATTCATAACAGTAGCAACATTACAGTTATGAAGTAGCAACGAAAATAATTTTATGGTTGGGTCACAACATGAGGAAGTGTATTTAAAGGGCCAGAAGGTTGAGAACCACTGCTTGAGGGCAAGGTCTTAACTCATTTCTCAGTCTGGGCGCCCGCACGCCTGGCTGAGGGCAGGTGCCCTGTGGACATGTGTTTGTTAAATGCATGGATGGAGGGAAGGCAGGCACTCACAGGTCGGTGGGGATGGGGTACCGCTCGCGCTCCTCCACAGGCAGCACGAAGTAGGGGATCCGGGGCACCAGGCCTGTCTTGTCTCGATAGTGTTGGCGATGCTGCTGTGCCAGCTACAGGGGACCGAGAAAGAGATGGCCGTGGTGAGTGTGCAGGAGTGACCGTGGGCACTGCAGTCCCCGCCTGGCTGTACCTGAGCCGGGGTGGTGTCTGTCTCCCCTAGTGCCCCCAGGAGTCCCCAGCGGGGTGCCCTCTCCGGACCTGGCTTCTCATCTGTCTAATGGGGATGAGGACCCCTCCCCCCAGCTTTGCTATGGAGAGTAAATGAGACAAGTGACCAGCAGAGGTGAGGCATGCGAGGCCTGGCTCAGCAGGTGGCACGGGTACGTTCCGTGTCTTTCTTTCTCCCTCTCCCTCCCTCCTGGACAGACCGTGCTCTGAGTGAGAGCCAAGATGGAGAGCAAGGCCTCCCCAGGCCCACTGAGATGGCCCCCCAGCACCTCAGAGTCTGACGGCATCCACCGGGTCCCCTCCCTGGGGCTCCCTGTGCACCCATGTCCTTGACCAGGAGGGAGGGACGTTTGCAAGGGGGTGAGTGAGAGAGAGGTTTCCAGGACCAAGCAGAGGATGAGCCCGGCCCCCACAGAGGTAGCCAAGCACCATGCCTGCAAGGACAGGTCTGCATCAGGCCAGAGCAACCAGACAAGAACACTGGGGTGTGGGCAGGTCCCGTCCATTTGCCTCTTCCTTCCCGGGCAATTAGGGTCCAGTTTGGGGCTGAGGTCCACTGGGGGCACATCCTTAGAGGCCGGTGGAGCAGGAGGTGTCAGGTGGGCACCTGGCTCCAGGTGGGCATGTCCAGTCAAGAGCAGACTTGGGGCTGGAGCCAAGTGGGCGCTTAGTGGGCCCTTTGTGCACGCATGGCTCATCTTGGGGATGAATTTTCGGCCTTTTACTCAGGGAGGAGATAAGGAAGGGTCCACAGGGCCGAGAGGCCACAGGGCAGAGAGGCGAGGGCGGGCACATCCCCAAAGGCTCCAACTCTCCCGTCGGTGGTGGGGGAGCAGGGGCAAGCATCACTGGAGCCCCTGGGTGAGGGGAGATCAGGGCTCTGGGGGTGAGCGGTCTCCCTTGGCCCAGCCCACCTGGTAGAAGCGGGTGAGCTCGAGGGAGCGGTCACTGTCCAGGTTGAAGCGGGTGTAGGTGGGCTTGAGCAGCCAGCGGGCACAGTGACTCTGCATGAGGCTGGGGCTCGGGGAGAAGATGGTCGGGAAGTGGCCGCTTTTGCAGAAGCAGGTGTGGCCCTTCTCCATGGCTGCATTGCGGTAGTCCTGGAAGTACTTGAAGGTGGTGGTGCCGTAGGTGGAACCGAAGGAGGAGGCCACACCGGGAACATGGCCTCTGTATCTGTGACAGCAGAGGCGGGAGGGAGAGGTCAGGGAAGGGCTCCAGGGCCACCTCCACAGGAGGCCCTTAAAACTGGGGGTGAGGCCAGTGGGCCCTGTGGCTACCTCTGGGTCTTGAGAGGCTTCCTACAGCGCACTGTCCATCTCAGTCCCTGGGTGGAGGGATAGGGGGGGGGGGGCGGGAATGAGTGAAAGAGATTGTGGACCTCTTCATGCCCTAGACCTCTAGGGTGGCCACGTCTCCAGACCAGAGGCTCACACAGGGGCCGGAAACAGTGGCTTCCGTCCTGACGCCCTCAGCAAGGCTGTGGGCAAATCACTCTCCCTCGATGGCCCCCTTTAGGGGCTGAAGATGTGAGGTCTCCTGCAGCTCTGAGCTTCTGCAGTTATTTCATCAAGAGGCCGAGAGACTGCGAGAAGATGGTGGGGGCAGCAGGGACACGTGCTGAGTGTGTGGGGCCTGGGCTTGGAGAGCTCCAGCGTCGCTCCCAGGAGGACCGCACAAGGTGCAGCCTAGAGCTGGCCAGGTCCCGGAGCTCGGAGAGCTGTCCCTCTGCAACCAAGGAGGCCGTGAGGCAGACTGGACACTGAGCAGGACGGGGGACACAGAGAGCACAGCAGACACCGTGCGCTCAGCCCCCCGGGGAAGGGAGACACACCGAAAGCCACGGCCTTATTTAGGCAAAACAAGGGGGGAACTAGCAACTTCCAAAAAGCATGAGCATCAGACTGCAGGCAGGACAGAGATCAAAGCTTTCCCAGGGAGCACAGCTGTGGGCTTCCCTTGGCTCCTCAGCCTCTGAAACCTGGCCCCGCTCCTGGTGCCACTGAAAGGCTCTTGACAGGGCCACCAGCGGCCTTCCTGCAGCATTGGACGTGGTTGCCCTCTTCTTGAAACTCCGCTCTTGGTTTTGTTCATGTCCTCTCATATTTTCTGTTGGCTGTCACCCACATCTCTGACCTGTTCCTTCTCAATGTCCGCCTCATTTTGTTCCTCCTCTGCTCATGTCCTCTGGACCATAGGGGCGATGTGTGTGCCGTGGCCTTAACCTTCACCTGTGTGCAGATGACCCCCAGTCTACACATCCAGTCCAGAAGTTCCCGCCAAGCTTCAGACTCCTGTAGACAGTCGCACACAAAACGTCTCCCTTGGGTGTCCCCCGGGCGTCATCTCCCAGCCTCACCTTCCCCAATATCTCATCTCATTGAAGAGCACCTCCCAGATGTCCGAGTCAGAAACATGGGTGCCCATCTCCCTCGGCTGTGCCCCTCTTTGGGAAAATAGTGTTCGGTGACAAAATCCTGCCAACTAAGAGATGATGCAAAAGAAAAAAACAACAACACAATAATACAGACACTGTTAGAATGACTGGTGGTTAGCTTCCAATCTGTTTAAGGACAGAACTCAGAAGAGCGACCAGGTGAAGGCTGGTTGCAGAACAGAAAGCAAATGTAAAACCTGGCAAAGTCAAACATAGTTTAAACAACAGAAATTAGGGAGTGGGTAGAGGGGAGATGGAAGTGCCCTTACTAAGGATTTCTAAAGCAGTCAACCCATGGCATCTAAAATTGAAACATGTCATTAAACACACACACCATAATGACTCTAACCCCCCGATGGCTTTCATATTCTCTCTGCCTCTCTCCTTCAGAGGGATCTTTTATGAACTAATATCTCCTGTGATGAATTAGCATTTATCTAAGCCGAGCTATTTTTCCATTTTATGTCAGTATCTTTCTCTTCCGTTAATTCTAGTACGATCAAGTTTCATGCTTTTCACGCTAAAGTAACCCCTCATTCAGTATGATTATATTTTTGTAAAATTGCCTTGTCTATCTTCCTATCAGCCACCCATCTTTTTTTAAAAAAACATATCTTTTTATAGATTTCAGAGAGGAAAGGAGAGGGAGAGAGAGAGAGACAGAAGCATCAATGATGAGAGATAATCATCAGTCAGTTGCCTCCTGCCTGCCCCGCCCTGGGGATTGAGCTAGGCAGGTGCCCTGCCTGGGAAGCAAACTGTGATCCCCTGGTTCACAGGCCGATGCTCAACCACTGAGCCACACCAGCCGCGCCATCCATGTCGTCTTTTACCTGACTATACACATAAAGAGAAACCTGGACTGAGGTGCACCGAGGGCTAATTCTGGTGAATGCTGGGTGTTTGGATTGAGGGGGTGGGGTGGCATGGTTGCTTTCTTCTTTGTCCATGTGCCTATTGTTAAGAGTCAGATGGCATGAAGAGTTCCTTTGTTGGGAACCTACTATGTGCTGGCACGGTGCTGGGTGTTTAGGGAATTACCAAGGTCCACACAGCTCAGCCCTCCTTCCCAAGCCTACCTCCTCATTCAGTATTATTGAGTGTGGGGTGTGCAGGGGCTGTGCTGTGTCGGGGCTCTAATGCTATTAAAGGGGGGAAGGCCCATTCCCAAGGGGGGGCGTGGAGCTCCATGAAGGGTTTGCACTGACTGAGGCTTTGAGGAGAACCTCAGTGTGGAGGGGGCAGACTGGGGTCTGGCTCTCTTCCCCCGCCCATCTTCCGGGTGCTGGTGTTACCCAGAGTTCTCTTCTCTCTTCAGAGACCCACTCCCTCTGGGGGAGCTCATCCGTGGCAGACTTCCATTGCCAAGGTCACCCAGATCGGTGGCTGAGACCCACACCCCCAGCCGTCCATCAGGGCTCACCCCCAGACTCCACAGTCAGAACGACTGACACTCGCCTGCTCCTCCTCCTGGATATCTCATCCTGGTTCAGCCCCCCCCCCCCCCCGCCCCCGCCCCGATCCACCAGGAACCAGGAGTCCCTGCTGTCCACACCCAGCTCCTCCCGAGTCTTGCATGCTCCCTCGTTAGGGCCCTCCCACTGTCCTCTGTCCCACCTGCTAAGGCCTTCCTCATTGCTCACCTGGACAGTCTCAGATCTCCTAGTTCATGTCCTAGGCCAGTGATGGTGAACCTTTTGAGCTCGGCGCATCGGCATTTTGAAAAACCCTAACTTAACTCTGGTGCTGTGTCACATATAGAAATTTTTTGATATTTGCAACCATAGTAAAACAAAGACTTATATTTTTGATATTTATTTTATATATTTATTGGGGTTTTTTGTGTTTGTTTTTTTTTTTACAGAGAGGAAGGGAGAGGGATAGAGAGTTAGAAACATCGGTGAAAGAGAAACATCGATCAGCTGCCTCCTACACACTCCCCACTGGGGATGTGCCCGCAACCAAGGTACATGCCCTTGACCGGAATTGAACCTGGGACCCTTGAGTCCGCAGGCCGAAGCCCTATCCACTGAGCCAAACTGGTTAGGGCTATTTTATATATTTAAATGGCATTTAACAAAGAAAAATCAACCAAAAAATGAGTTCACGTATCACCTCTGACACGCGTGTCATAGGTTCGCCATCACTGTCCTAGGCCAAGTTTCATCCCTTCCAGCCCAACGTCCACACAGATGCCAGAGCGATCTTTCTCCATCTCGCTGCAGGTCACAGGGCCCACCGCTCGTACCCCTTCCCCACGGGGGCCCTGTGCCCAGGAATGTTACTCGCATCCCTGGGGCCCCACCTGCTCTCCAAGCCTCCAAGCCTATCTCCTCCCACCTCTCAGGGCACTTCCCCCTCGCTCACTGGGCCAGGGCCCTCTGCCACCTTCCCTGACCACACACCCTCTACCAACATCTCTGCTTCACAATAGGATGACCCTTCACGCCCACAGACCCATGCTAGTTCATTTCCTCTGCTAACCTGCATTCTCCTTTACCCCCAGCACCTACACAGCCCCTGACATGTGACAAGGTTTCAATAACTGTTCTCTGGCGGCGGCAGAAGTCCAGAAACCTGGGGCACCGTGTCCCAGAATGTGGTTTCCAAAGGGGCTTGGCTCCGCCACAAAGCGTGCCACCCACAGTGGCCTTTGCGCTCCTCTAAAGAAAGTAGCTATAGAAATGTGACGTGTTCTGTGATTCTTCTCTCCGCCACCCCCAGCTCCCTGCGCACTCCCCCTCTGCTCCGCTTCTCCACCTTCTCTGAATGCCAAGGCATTTGCATGCCAATGGAACAGAAGCCCTCTCCTCTGCAGCGAGGTTCTGCCTGGATTCTGTTCAGAACTTGCTCTGGGAGGGGCATGTGTGTGTGCACACGTGCAAATGTGCTCATTTAGTTCCACTCAGCGGGCACGCCGGGGCTGCCTACCTCTGTGTCTGTGTGTGCGCATGTGTGTGCCTTGAGCGTGACCCATGCAGTCCAGGTAGAGAGCCTTCGAAGGCCCATGTTGTTGGTCATGTAGCAGGTGGATGTGGAGAGGAACAGGGGAATGGCAGGTCTCATGCTGGGCCATCCAACAGCCCCTGCGGTGCCACCACACCCCCTCCTGGGCCCCTTCCGTGCTCCCATGTGCCTCACCCCCCTGCAGACCACACAAGTGCTCAGCCGGCCCCTGGGCAACGATCACACGCGCATCCTCAAGTCCACGGTGGTTACTGTGGGGCAGGGAGCAGCCCCTCCCTGCCTCTTCATACCCCAGGTTGGCCCCGTAGCTAACATGGAAATTAATTACTACGAGCCATCGGGATCCCCTGAGCAGCCCTATTAACTAATTAACTTGTTACTATTTAGCGTGTCCTCCTTCCACATGCGCCTTCTTCTCCACGGCACTTCCTGCAGGTCCCTCCCCTGAGCAAAGCCTTCCTGGCTCCCCACTGCCTATGAAATTAAGAGCAAACTGGGCCAGGCGCTCAAGGCCCTGCTTGACGTGAGCCTCTGCGAAAGGTGTTTCCAGTCTCGCCGTCCCCTTTCACGCGGCAGCGTTTCGACGCCAGCCAGACAGGCCCCTTGCTGTTGTGGGCGCATATCCTGCCGGCACCCCCACCCCGGCGTTCCACCAGCCACCCCTCCGCCCAAAGACCCTGCTCTCCTCCTCTGTCCACATGTGCTCTCACCCATCCCTCAAGGAGCATTTCCCATACCCCTCCTCCTAGAGCAGTGGTTCTCAACCTTCTGGCCCTTTAAATACAGTTCCTCATTTGTAACCCAACCATAAAATTATTTTCGTTGCTACTTCATAACTGTAGTGTTGCTACTGTTATGAATCATAATGTAAATAAATATCTGATATGCCGGATGGTCTAAGGTGACCCCTGTGAAAGGGTCCTTCAACCGCCCAAGGAGTCGCGGCCCACAGGTTGAGAACTGCTGAGCTAGAGCCTCTTCTGACCCGCCCAGGAACTAGGCCTGGCCCCTCCGGGGGAACTGTCTTTGCTCTTTGTGCCTCTCGTACGGCCAGTCCGCATTCTGCTGATGGTAGTTACCTGGGCCCTTAGCATGTTCTTTCCTGCTGAACTGTAAGCTCCGTGGGCAGAGGGGCTGCATTCTACTCCCATCTTCATCCCTGGCATGCCTGGCACTCAGTAGATGGCACCCTGTAAATATTTGTTGAATTGAACTGACAAATGGAGGCACATTTTTAGGGGCTGAGGATTCTTCTGGAGCCCAGGGTCCCTGTCACAGAGCCCAGGTCTCTCTCCAGGGCCCGTGACCCCTGTTTTCAGGAAGGTGCGAGAGGCATTGGTTGCCTGTCTGGACACACCTGCATCCTTCGGAGCAGAGAGCCTCTGTTTCATGCCCCAGGATGCACCGGTCTGTCCGCGGGCCTGCGCCTCCAGAGCCAGAGCCAGAGCCTGGGCGGAAATGGAAGGCGCTTCGGAAACGCAGCTGCCAAATCTGCCCGCCCTTCCCCTCACCTGGGCTGCACCTGTCTCACCCTGGGAGGGGAGATCTCGGGCCCAAAGGAGTTGGCAGGAGCAGGCAGGGGTGGGCTGGGGGCAGCGTACATCGGCTCATACTGGCTCAAGAGAGCCAATAGCTAAATTTTGGGGATTTTTGCAAACCTGTTGTTAAACGGGCCAGCATTAAAAATGAAATTGAAGTTACAGTTAAAGAAATTATATTGAAAATAATGGTAATAAATACTCAAAACTCATCCTTCCTAATTATTTTATACACTTCACTACTGTCTGTGTCCTTGGGGTGATTGCATCTGTATGGTGGGACTTTGTGTGCTGCCGTGTTGCTGCGCATCTCTTTCCAGCTCTGTTCAGTGACATCATATTGATCGTTTGAGATCAGCTGTGGCAGGAGTATTTATAGCACAGATGTGAGCAAATGCTACAAATCAAGGCTTTTTCTCCCCAGAGAGCTGGTTGTTAAACATTTACCAGCTCAACCCTGGTTTGCCTGTCTGTTGTATGGGGTTCCACGGAAAGGGACACAGCCACCTTGTGGGGCCCCCTCCCCTTGACAATGGCAAGTGTAGAATGCACTGATCTCAGGGCCCAGAGGCCCCTGAAGTCTGGGCCCAGCCCAGTGGCAGATATGGGCACAGCTGCCACTCTAGGCAGACGGAGGGAGGGACTGGGGTGCAAGTCCTTTTGCCCTCCCTCCTGGGCAGGAGCTATGGGCACGAGGGGCAGAAGCAGTCAGGGCATGAATGAATGCACAGCGTCAGGGCAAGTGTTTGCACTGAGGTCCCGGTGCGGTGTGGTGCGGTGCGGTGGGAGACAGGGCAAGGAAACGGATGTCACCAGATCTGACCTGCAAGCAGGAGGCACAGAGTGTCAGTCACTGGGCCAGTCTCACCCCTTACAAGGCTTTGCCATCCCAGGGACTCTGCCCCAAGTGTTCTCTGCTCCCTGCAAGGATGGACACAGGCCAGACAGTGCAAGGTGCTTGAGGGCTGTGCCACCCGGAGCAGCAAGGGACGAGAAGCAGCATCCTGGCCAACTAGTCTGAAGACAAGCATCCTGTTCCCCATGGTGCCTGGAATCAAGCCTTGAACACGGCAGGGGTCTTAGGATAATAGCTAATAATTGGAGGGATTGGGGGAGAGGGTGCTGAAATCACAAAGACCTGACTGGGCAGCTTGCTGAATGACCTTAAACGTTTGTAAAGAGCCTAGCACAGTGCCTGCCACAGAGTAGGTGCTCATACATGGGGGCTCGCGGTGCTTCTACAGGGCGTCAGGGAGCTGGTTCCAGCCCACCCCTTCCATCCCCAGCCTGGGGCTCAGGCAAGTGCCCCCAGGACCTCAGTGCTGGCATCTAATACAGGAGAGGGCTGGGTTACATGGTCTCTGAGGTCCTCAGTGCTGTGGATAGTCTCTGCGTCTGTGAATGAAACTGGGAAGGGGGATGATTTGCGTGTCAGAAGAGACTGGCTGCACTGAGCATCCTGTGATTAATGTCCGGAAAGACACACACAAATAATAATCATCCAAGTGCGGTGTAACTCTCAGATTCTTCCATTAAGTTAACAAAATGGCCCACGAGGCAGCATTTGGAAAGGTAAGACAACTCAGTTCTTCCCTCACTGATGGGGATCTTCGGGGAGAGCACACTCCTCCCAGGAAGATCCGGCTGAGAACACAGTCGCTCCAGGCTCAGCGGCTCACACTAGCCCAGTCCAAGCTTAGGGCCTTGTTTACGATTCACCTGTTATCACAATCTCTAGCTCAGCCACAGGTCAGAGTGCTCAAGGACACTGCACCCAAGAATGGTGGCCAGAAAGCATGCTGGGATTGCTTCTAAAACAATCATTCCACCCCACCCCGCCCCCACACAGACCTACACGGGGGGGGGGGGTTGGGGGGGGGACATAGGGGAGAGTTAATTCAAACTAGAGACCGTGGGGGGCTTAGGGAAAAAATACACCAAAGTATAAAATCAAACCTCATGATAAACACCCAGGACGTGGTATAAACATACTCTCCAAGGCTGTAAACCCTCAAGGCCCGCCTCCCCTCCCCCCATCCGTTTTTGTCTTAATACAACGCCTGGCATAGCCCAAGCACTGGACACATCTTTACCAAATGAATGCCCACATGAGTGAGTTAGTGGGAAACTGTGACCCAGTAAATTAGCTTTGTCCGGTGGGAACCCAAGTTGAGCTCTCCAAGGTCCTGACCACAAATGGGAGGATTCATAACTCCAGTACCAGCCCCTCCTTACTGCACTGCCTCTGTGCACAGAAATGGCTTTAATAACATAGCCCCTCAAATGTCCTGCTTGCCGTGCCTCGAAACAACCCAAACTTCATACAAAATATATGGCGAGGTCGTGTGTTCATCTTTCAGTTTGTTCCGTTCTCAGGGGAGAGAGAGCACGTGAAGACCTGCCTGCAGAACTCTCAAGACATTCATTTCATTCATGCGCTTTCTCACTCACTCATCCGTTTTATACAGATGTGCTGACACCGTGCAGGTGGCTTCTCAGAACCCAGCCCCTGCCCTCGATGCCTGTTTCACTCCTATACCCTGGAGAGGAGGTCGGTAGTGCAAATCTCAGACACTTTGGGAGGAAAGGCCGGAGGAAAACAATCAGACTTGCATCTTACATGCTGGAGTTTGAAAACATCTAGAGAGAGAGAAGGTAGGTTTGACCCTGCCTCTCAAGACAAGGCAGCCCTGGGGCTGGACACTCTCAAAGCCAGCACACTGTGAGGATGAGTTGAGCTTGGGGGGGGGGGGGGCGGAGGGTGAAGAACGGAACACAGGCCGGTGGACAGCGCCCACCACTGGGCATTACTGCTGCCTGTCCAGCTCGCCAGAGTCTTTGAGCCCCGCCGCCAGGAGCCCACCGTGTCTCCTTCACTTCAAACGACAAATGCCAAGGCTTCGCTGGGTGCCCCAAACTGTGGTGGAGGCTGAAGAGCCTGCTCACTTTTCAGGGATTCCTCACCTTCTCGCTCTTGCCTGGGCATCTCCCTCTCCTCCCCCTTACCCGGCCCCCATCCACTGGGGCTCCCCCTTACCCGGCCCCCATCCACTGGGGCTCCCCCTTACCCGGCCCCCATCCACTGAGGCTCCCCTGATCCCAGCCCCCATCCACTGGGGCTCCCCTCATCCCGGCCTGGGTGGGGTGTATTCTGTGCCGCTCGGACTGACTTCCTACCTTGGGGGGTCTGGGGACTCCCCGCGGGCGCCCAGCCTATAGGGAGCGCCGCCCCCTCCCGGGAAGACCACCCAGCCAGACCAAACACTGGCTCCTGGGTTCCTTCCAACCCCAAGGCGCGGTGCGGAGTTTCCAGGACAGAGGAGGGTTTTGTGGAGGGAGAGGGAGAGGTTCCCCGCACCCCCCAGCCCCCACCCCCCACGGCTCTGAACCGCGGGTCTGCCCGGGAGGGGAGGGCCTTACCCAGGCATGAGGGCAGGGGGCACGTAGGCGGCATTGAACTCGGACAGTAGGGTGCCCGCGCTGCGAGAGGCCATGGTGGATGCGGCTAGCGCGCAGGGAGCCCTGCCTCTGGGATTCGGCCCGCGGGTCAACAGCCCGGTCACCTGGCAACCGCGCGCCTGGCGACGCCTTGGGGCCCTGCAGCCTCCGTGTTCTGGGGCCCACGCGCGCCCTCAATAGCCCCTTCCGAGGGGCGCGCCCTGAAAATGCTCCATTCTCCTCGGGCCCTTCTGGGTGGCCCCGCAAATCGCCGCCTCCCCCCTCCCAACCCCCCATCTTCGCGTTCACATCCAGGAATGGGCTTATCTCTAGGCTTCGCTGCGGGCGGGCGTGGTGATGCTCAGATGATGAGGAGGCCGGGCTGGGGGCGCCCTTGTCCTCCGCCATGGCCCGGCTTGGAACCCCTCGCTCTGGAGGCAGGCGCAGGAGGCAGCAGCCCCATGGGCTCAACTCTGGGAGCTTGAGTGGCCGCGCGCCCAGGTCGCCAAGGGAAATGGTCTTCAGCTCTCCTGGGAGAGCAGTTTATAGGGACAAAAAGCAAATGGTGGAGAGGGCGGAGCGTGGGTTTACATTTGTCCCCGATTCCGCAGCTCGGTCCGACCTGGAGAGCAAGCCTCGGGAAGGCCTGGGAAGGGTCCTCCATGACAATGCCTCCTTCCTCTAACTGTCTGGTGCCCACACCCGGGTTTCCCAGTGACCCTGACCCCAGCCCGGGGCTGAGTGGGGTAGGGAGAAGCCTTCGGTCCTGCATGCAGGGTGAGGGTCTGGCCACAGCTCCTGCTGCTTGGAACTTGCACTTAGACCTGCTTCCCCAGCAACCCGGGGAGAGTCCTGGCATCAGCACGAATGGGCTGTAGTTCACACTTGTCCTTCACACTCTCATTTCATCTGTGGATGAAAGTGTTATCTTCACAGTTTGGCTCCGCGGATGGCAGCTGATGAGGCCCACGGGCGCTAATGAGCTCACAGGCCGCTCAGCAGCCAGGATCCTCAGAGGCTGTCTCTGACAGATAACAGTGGGACTGGGAGAGTCAGGGCTTCCATGAGACGCAAGAAAACTGAGGTCTGGGGAGGAGAAGGAACTGAGGGGAATGAGTGGTGGCAATCGAGGTGGGAGGAATCTTCGCCCCCCTTCGCACTGCAGTCATAACTATATTTCTAAGTTCCCTGTGCAGCCTGGGCTACAGGAAGAACACGTTTATGAAAGTTGTAAAAGAGCAGCCCTCCGGTTGGTGCGCGACACTCCAGGACGCTGTTTCTAATGACCCATCACCACCCAACCCCGGGACAAGGTCAAGTGTCCACTCCCTTCCCCGTGCTTGGCTCCTGAGCTTCCCCGCCCATGGACCCCTCACCCTGTGTCTACTTGACTGTGTTCTAGTCCAGCGGTCGCCAACCTTTCGGACCTCACGGACCACAGTGGTCCGCGGACTAAGTCCATCTAGCTCTGTGCTTGAGGCCCAGCGCTGTATCATATCCATCCCCGAATCCCCGGGGCCTGGTACCGGGAGGGGTTCAGTACATGTTGGTTGAGTAAATTTTATATTAAGAGTTACCGAAATGGGTAAGAGGGGAGTGGAAATTTTTTAAAAAGTGGGATCTGACTCACATTTCAGAAGGCTCGGCTGGCTCAGCTAAAGGATGCTATGTGTTGGCAGGGTGGAATTGGCCAGTGGAACCATTTTACAGATGTGGAAACTGAGGTTCAGCAAAGATTAAGGCCTTGCGTAGGGCTTTTCCCCAAAGATACATAGGCGCATTGGAGGCCTCATGAAACGCACCCCCTTCAAGAGAGAACCTCCGGACAGCCTGGGGAGGAGATGGGTTTTTTCCTATCCCATGGCACCACACCTTACAAAGATCACTGGATGGCCTCATGAATGGAACGTGCTAGTCAATTTAGTGTTGTTTTCTTTTAAATAAAGAGACATTAAATTTCTATATTTTTAAAATGTAGACATTCACTTGTATTTGATAAATGCACTATGTGAAGATATTCTTTGAGTCAATATGGTTAGATAAAAGTGAAAAAGGAGAGTGGGAAATGGGGAAGAAAAGAAGGAAAAGGAAATAGAACATAAATAGAAAAAGAATAATAAGGCAAAGTAGCGAGGAAGCACCTAGAAGGCGGGAAGGAGGCTCCTGGCCATCCTGCAGGTCGCTTGGGCTGTAGAATTCAAAGGGAGTCATCAATCGCTTGTTAGCATGCTGTGAAAATGCAATGCTTCCCTTTTTGAATCTTAAAATCTGTTCCGCATAAATCATCGGGCTCCCTCTCTTATCCTGCCCACATTCACTGGGCCTCCTACTATACACCAGACACCATGCCAAGCCCTGGGGATCCAGAGAGACAGTGCCCTGGGGTCTCCCAGCCCGCAGGGGGAGGTTACTGGAGCAACCCTGTGAAGGGTGAGATGGGAGGGGCAGAGACAGCACAGAGGACCCTAACGCAGCCTGGGGACGGGTGCAGGGGCAGGGGCACTTCCAGGAATGGACACGCTGAGTGAGTCCAGGTGAGGAGGGTGGGACAGGGGCATTTTGTGCAGAGCAAGCAGTAAGAGCAACGGTGCAGCTGGTTCTGCAAAGGCTGCAGGTGCGAGGATCGCAGTCCCCGGGGTCCCTTTCCCCGAGTCCCTCCTCAGGTTGCTGCTGGGAGAAAGGAGGGCCAGTTCTCCTTTGACCCTTAGAAATCCCCCCCCCCCAGCATCCTCTCGGGCCCATCTCACTCCCCACCCCAGGCCTCTTCATCCCCAGGCCCTGAGGATGGGGCTCGGTCATTGCCCTGGACCATAAGCATTGCCCTTAGGAGAGCATGAGCTTCTGAAGCCTTCATAGCCGCGAATCTGCAATCGTGCATAGCCTGGCTCCAAAGACTCCTCCATCCTCCCAGACCCAGTGATCCCAGGGCCAGGTGGTCAGGACCCAGCCTCGTGGGGGCACAGTCTCTGTGAGGACAGGTAAGGAAGTCCATTTTCTTCTTCTCTTAGGGCTCCCATTTCAGGGGACCAGCCACCAAGCACAAGTTGGATGTTGTCTGGTAGATACTGATTTTTCTGGCTGGGGAGCCCTGGGTTAGAATTTCCATGTGGCAGAATATGACCCCCTCAGAGCAGCCAGGCCTGGCCCATTAGGCCCCCTGAGCCTTGTGAGCACCAGGGACCCTGGTGGCCAACTTGACTGTGGGGAAGGGGGGGTGGCATGGATCACCCTGAAACACCAATGCAACATCCCAGCTTCCTGTGCTCACAGATCATGAAGTTCCTTCTTCCCCATGGGAGGGGGCACCCCAGCCACATGCCCACCCTTTCACATTCATGCCCACTCCCATCTGCCCACTCCTGGTGGCAGAAGAGCTCGCCTAACAGGGTAAGGCAGAGCCCCACTGAGGCGTGGGCAGGCAGCTGTGCCCCAGGAACTAGGAGAAGACACCTAGAGCTGGACAGGGCTTTATCTGGGAGCCAGCGGCTGCTGAATAATGAATTCCAACTCTGTCTGCATTCGCAGGCTGCACGCTGGGCGCACAACACACACACACACACACACACACACACACACACACACACACACACAGATGCACGCTGGGCTGACAGCTGGGAGGGGCGGGAGCTCTGTGAGTGGAGTCTCGGGAAGGAGCAGCTCTGCTCTGTTGCCTGGGTCTCTGTGGGCAGCATCGGAGGGGGCACAGAGGGTGGAGGCGGCGGCAGAGAGGAGGGAGGCGTGTGAGCCACGCTCCTGGGCTTGCTCCTTCCCAGCTGCTCCCGCCTGGCAGTGCCCAGGCTCTCCACACCGGCATGGCCCTGCTCGTCCACCTCAAGACGGTCTCGGAGCTGCGGGGCAAGGGCGACCGGATCGCCAAAGTGACTTTCCGAGGTAGGGAAGCCCCTGTCTTAGGCGGACTCCGCTCTGGGCTGGCAGGGATGGGGCAGGGCGGGAGGGTGGGTGGGAAAAGTTCGAGCAGGGTTGGGGCTAGGAGGCTTTTCACGGGCAGCCATCTGCCCCTGGCCTGACTGGCCACTCTGATCTCTTAAAAAATCATTGACCCCCGTGTTTTCCTGTCTGTATCTGTGCCTGTCTCTCCCTGCACTTGCCAGTGTGCCAGTGCCAGGTGCCATGTGCAGCCCCCTGACTGCAAGGGGTCCTGGGGAAGCAGAAGCGAGGACCCCATCCCTGGATTTAGGGGACCCGGGGCTGAGGGCCCCAGCCCTGCAGAACCTCCCCAGCCCTCTCCAGAAGGTTGGTGTCCTTGGGCATGGGGTGGGGGTGGGATTTGCAGCCTAAAAGATCCAGGGTGGCTCCTAGAAACCAGTAGCCAGTAGCTCCCTGGGGCTGGGCATGATGGGGATCCTGTTGGCTTCCTGCAGATGCATCCGTGAGCAGAAATCCCGTGAGCCCCTCTTGTCTCCCCTGTCAGTTCTCTTTCTGCCGCCTTCCCACTCATGCATCCAGTGGCCATTTATTATCATCCATGTGCTAAGGCTGGGGGCCAAGCATGACCCAGGCCCTGCCCTCAACAAGCCCACATCCAGTGGAACAGGGACCAGTGGGCAGGCAAACAGGACATGTGTGTGATACGACAAGGGTAGGGACAAGTGCAGCATGCAAGCTACAGAGGCAGCACCCTGGCCCAGGCTAGTGATCAGGGCAGGCTTCCAGGAGGAGGTGACACCTCAGCTGAAACCTCAGGGACCAACAGGAGGGAGCAAAGTGAGGGAGCGGAGGGGACAGGATGCCTGCTGGGAGAGGAGCTGAAATGTGGGAGAAGACGGGTTCCCAGGGGATAGGGGCGTCAGGGAAGAGCTATGAGAACAGAGTGAGTGTGAGCACCTGTGTCAGGAAGGAGAGGTGAGACACGGGCAGCCTTCCCCGGAGCTCTCCAGCAGCTGCCTGTGCCCACACCAGCCTCTCAGGCAGGCCAGCCCTGGGCATAGGGACAGGCAGGGGTGGAGGGTTCCCAGAGTCTCTGCTGGCAGGAGGGAGAAGAAGGTGGGCTGGCCTGCCTGCTGCTTCCCACACTAGCCCAGCGACTGCTTTCTCT